TATATATATATATATATATATATATATATATATATATATATATATATATAATGGACCCTAACCCTGGAGGCCACGTCTATTATAAGCACAAAAAGTCAAGACTGAAATTTCAAAAGTGATTCTAGTTTTGTCAGGAAGCCAATAGTGAGGATGAAACCAGCTTCCTGTTGGACCAACTGCAGATAAAACAAGTAAAAACAGAACTACAATCATTCAAACCAGAGGAAATAAAGAACTAACAATCTTCTCTTCAGATTTGGATAAAAAGACTTTATTTTTTATTTTTTTGCTGCTGAAGATTCTCAGTCATCCAGGTCGTAGTTATTCCAAAACATTTAGGAAACAATCCACTGAACTGTGGATTCATGTGGTTCCTGTTTGGTCATGTGACCTTGATGCAGCTCAGCCTGAAGCTGATGTCAGTTCTTCATCTCATCTATCCTACAGATAATGAAATAAATAATATTTTGAAACTGTTCTTTCTGTGATATTCTGTGATGTTTGCACTGAATTAACTTTAAAATAATATTTGTTGTGAATGTGTTAAATAAAACATTGCTGAGACTCTCTGGTCCAGTCAGCAGACGATCAGATGTTTTCCATGAATTAGGCCATGAGAGCGGCGTGGCATGGATCAGCAGTTCAGCTGACCTCCTTTGGCTCATCAGCGTTGCTGGTTCTGGCGTCTCTGTTCTTCTGGACGATACTCCACAGATTCTGAACAGCGTCCAGGTTTCTGACCAATCGGTTCCAGTTCTGCCATGTTTTCCTGCAGCAGCTTCAGGGACCTTTAGTGGTGGGGGGCCGGTCCAGAGTCCAGAACCAGCAGAAGATGTGAGGCTCTGATCGTCTCTCTGGACTTGAAGCAACATGGATCCAGAGCTTCCTCGCTCCTCTTCCTCCTCACTCTGGGACCTGGATCTCCAGTTTTTTCCTCCTTAATCCAGGGAGGATGTTAGTGATGTTGTATTTAGTTGAGGGAAGGGTTAACACTCATTAGTCACACTGGGGTTGCTTTCATTTTGCTTACAATGAAAAAATCTAAATCTAGATCAGTCATTTTTTCTTAAAATAAGTGCATTTGTTCTTGAATTGAGGAGAAAAGAGACATTTTAAGAATCGGGCAAGACAATTTACACTTAAAATAAGTAAACACATTTGCATTGTTTTATTTCACGTGCATATTATCTAATTATCTTATTTTAAGAGATAGTTTGGCAAACTATCTCATTAACCTACTCAAATCAAGAGTAAATGCACTTAATTTAAGAAATGTTTACTTATTTCTGGATGGTTTTTCCAGTGTAGTGACTCTGGAGGAGCTGACTCCATGGAAATGAGGGATTTAAAATGCAGAACTTTTTCAGATTATTTTCTATTTTTCAGATGTACTTTTGAAAAAGAAAACAGTTTCATTCTGGATTTAAAAGTGCAACAAATACTCTTACCAACGACCAGAGGCGCCAAGTAACAAAGTACTTTACTTTCCTCGAGTAGAAATATCTGCTATCTATACTTTACCGCACTTATTATTTTTTAGACAACTTTTTACTTTCTACTAACATTTTAAAAATAGAATCGTTAGTTTTGTCTCATTTTCATTATGACCTTTTGATTTAAAAAATAAAAACCCATCAAAATAATTAGTTTCTTTAAGACAATTCATTCCTTTTGCTTGGACTAAGTAGAAATGTGTGCTATCTATACTTTACTGCAGTAATAATTTTTTAGACTACTTTCTTTTTTACTTTATACTCGTTAGGTTTTAAAAATAAACTTGTTAGTTTTCTTTCATTTAAGCTCGTTTTCTTTATGGCCTGTTGGTTTGAAAAAATAAAAACCATCAAAACGATTAGTTTCATCCAGACAGTTATTTTCTTTGTGGTTGGACTCGGTGCTGCCCCAACCTGTTGCTCACTACAAACCAAAAGAAATAGTTTTTCCAGATGATGCAAAGTTAAATGTTACATTGTTGACATTAGTTATAAAACTATGAATATAAAGTTTAAGGAATTATCATCCAGAATTGTAGAAAATGTTCCTTTAATAGAGTAGAGCAGTAAAGCTTCTGGCATTAACAGTTTTTCCTGCATTACTTTTACTTTTATACTTTAAGTAGTTTTAAAAATTTTACACTTTTACTGGAGTGAAAAGCTGAAGTTGATCCTCTAATTTCTATAAAAGCATTTTAAGCAGTAGGATTAATACTGGAGGAATAAAGCTGAATACTTTTGACTCCTCTGTTAAAGACAGAGAGGAAAACCCATCAGCATGCATCAGCCACCACCGTGCCCTTCATTGATGATATTTGGCTTTATTTGCTCATCTCAATAAGCAGATAAAAAACTGAGAAACGTTATCTTTTAGTCATTACATTTTGTTGTTGGATAAAGTGAAGTGAAAGCAAACATCAGTATTTTCTAACCTGGCTTCTTTTCTCTGTGTGGAAATAGAATGCATAGAAATAAGAAAGGAAGGAAGGAAGCTTGCAGGCAGCAGGTATTTTCTTTTATTGGAAATACATCATTGGTTGAGTCTGCATACAGTAACATTTCAGCACAGGACTACACAGAACAGGCGGTCCGTCTCAGCTTGGCGGGAGCGTAACGTCGGCAGCCGGTCAGCAGCACACAGACGTTCATTTAAACTCCATTTAAAACGACTTCTGTCAGGTATAAAAAACACTAGTTGGTTTTTCCTGCCTCCAACGCAGCGGTACTGAAAGGACGCTGCATCAGAGACAGCAAACCTAGAAACGACACCAGCTTCATTATTTCTCAAAGGTAGAAACTTGTCATCAAAGGAAATATTCAAGTTATTACAAAAAATAAAGTCAAACAGAATCGCCTCTGCTGACTTTTGGAAGTTTCAAACATTTCACTCTAATTCAGAGGCAGTGCGTGGGGCACGGTCCTCCGCCTGCAGCGATCAGCTATGGCTTTAAATGGGGTTTAAAGAGAAGGAAAGGCAGTCAGGATGCAAACCCAACGCAGAGCTTCCACCCCGTGCACAGATCTAGAGCAAGCAGACAGGGCAAGGTAGGCACACATCAGAGCTATCTACAACTCCTCTTTCTATTCCTCATCTCACTTCCTGCACAAATGTCCATTTAAGGTCACAAGTGGACTTACTGTGCTGCACCATGATTTGACTAAACTACATGAAACTAAAAGGATTGAATCCTGTAATCCAGCCACTGAAATGATAAAACAAGCTATAAATACCAGAACACACTGACTCATTGCTGCTAGTGATTCATCGGCATATTTATCGCTCCTCACAGCGATCCTACACAAACACAACTCTACATAACAAAAAGGAAACAAAAAATATTCTAAATAATTAAGATTTGTGGAAAATGAGAAGCTTTAATCTGGAGGATGAATGAAAGATAATAAAACCAGAAAGTCTGAAGAAAACTGAAGGTATGAAGCGTAGATCATCCAAGTCTTCTGCTCAGGTCAGCAGGTCAGAGGGCAGCTGGAAGGAGGCAGGAAAAACAGGATTTTACTGCAAACGAATCCAATTATAGTGAAAATGGAATAAAATTCTCTATTTATTCTAAAGGATGTTTCTGTAAAAATTAAATAATCAGTCGCAACATTATGACCAACATGGGGTGAAGATTCCCAGTCATCCAGGTCAGAGTCAGTCCAAAAAAAGCTCAAAATCAATCCTCTGGACTTTGTTTCCAGGTTTGAAGACGTTTCTCTTCCATCCAGGAAGGTTTTTCAATTCAAAATGTCAGAAATAGCGTTTAGTTCCAGGTTTTATCCAAAGAACAGAAACTCATCAAAGATGATCTCCAAACCTACAGATACCCAAACTGGCCGTTTGTCAAATCAGCAAGGAAATTCACTGGAAAAAATCTAAATCTAGATAAGTCATTTTTTTCTTAAAATAAGTGCATTTGTTCTTGAATTGAGAAAGTAAAAGAGACATTTTGCCAATAGAACAAGACAATTTACATTCAAAATAAGAAAGCACAATTGCATTGTCTTATTTCAAGTGCATTTTATCCAAATATCTTACTTAAAGATTAAAAATACTCATTCCATTGGCAAATCATCTCATTTACCTACTCAAATTAAAGGTAAATACACCTAATTTAAGACATTTTTACTTGTTTCTAGATTGTTTTTCCAGTGTTCAAAAGACACAAAGCAGAACATGATGGTGAGAAGATTAAATGCAAAAAAAATCTCCATCCCATATTTTGCTGGAATCTCTGAAAAACTCGAGAGGATTATTTCCAAACATAAAATCCCACAACATTTCAAACCAATCAGACCCTGAAACAGAGACTAGTTCATCCTAAAGACCTAATCTGAGCAGAGTGTCTGCAGGTCAATGCAGCGAGGAATGCTCTGATCTTTATATGGGAGAAACCAAACAACCTCTCCACAGATGCATGGCCCAACACAGAAGAGCGCCCTCCTCTGGACAAGACTCTGCAGTACATCTACACCTGATGGACAAAGGACATTCTTTGGAGGACCAGAATGTTCATTCTGGATAAAGATCATCGGTGAAAGAAAAACCAACCTTAAACAGGTTGGTTTTTCTTTACAGGAGAACAGAAGACCTCACCTATTCAGCCAGGCCAACTATTCCCTCTAACGACCCCCCTTTCAGAGACATAGACAGGTATGGGGCATTGCAGGCTAACAAAGAAGCCAAACGACCCCCATTCCAAAGGGGGGGACCCGTTCATCCGTTTCTATTTGCATGTTTTCTAAACTAAAACCAGGCTTTGTTGGGCTGCTGGATAAAACCTGGAACTAAACGCTATTTCTGACATTTTGGATTGAAAAATCTTCCTGGATGGAAGAGAAACGTCTTCAGACTTAGAAACAAAGTCCAGTGGATTGATTTCTAACATTATGACCAACCATCTGATACTGAATCTGAAGATATTCAGTGTTTTCCTTTAGACTTCAGGCAGAGCTGTGGATGACATCTGAACCAAAGCTGAGGGCTCGTTATCCAATAGAAGCTGGACGGAGGAGGAGGGGTCATGCCCGGCATGCGGTGCGCTTGGAGGCAGTTAGCAGCACTGATGAGCAACTATAGATCTGCTCTCTGGTTTAATCGTCCTGCTGACGACAGGATCGCTTCTCTTGACTGTTTCCATAGCGATAAGTCTGAGTACTGTAGCAGGAGGCTGGGAGGTTTGGGAAACGTTCTTCTGGGTATTTGCTGTTCCTCTACATAGATAGAAGTTACTTTGAAATGATTAATACCTGAGCTGCAGATATCTGCAGCTGCTCCAGAGTTCCCGCTCTGATTTATGCTCTCTTTGCTCAGCTTGAGGGAGACGTGTAGGTTTTTTCTTTTTTACCTAAAGGGCTGCTGTAATGGCCTGACATTACTGATGATATCTTCCTTGTTAAAGGACGACTCGCCCCCAAATCAACTTTTTATGCTGATTAATCTGTGGAAATCGATGTTTTTTTGGTATTCCACGTATTAACTGAACATTTGTTGGGCAGCTGCTCTCTGCTAACTCACTGAGTCCCTGAGTGACCAACAATAAATCTAATGACTTCCTTAAAATGGAAAATCAAATTAAATCATATTTTTCCTCATTTAAAAATGAGTAAATTTAGGTAAAAAGCAGTCTGTATGATCTGGCTCGCTGGTGTAAGGATTTGACATTGGTGTAGCGTCGCTCAGTCATATGAGCTAAGAGACAAAAAAAAAAAACATTATTTTTTAAGATAAAAATAAAATAAAATAGAGAAAACCTCAAAGTTGACAAAAAGGTAGCAAGTCTTGTTTTTCTAGGCCATAAAAGTTATTTGGCTTTAATTTTGGGTCATAGATAGTGTTGCACAGATACCGATACCAGTATCGGGCGGGGCCGCGATCCAGCACTAGATGGTGGTATCGGTATCGGCGAGTACCAACCAAGAGGGCACCGATACCATTTTGAGAGCCAAAGGTTTATTCAGCTATTGTCGCCCATTCCAGGTAGGCAATAAATTGTCTTTTTCCTGCTTCACAAAGGAAGGCAGCAGCTGGACATGAAGCCATGATGGTGATTATTTTACATCCAATTAGTCTGCAGTTCTTCATTTATATGCACGCATCAATTTCAAACAGATGGTATCGGCCGATACAGCACAGCCAATGGCATCGGGGCTACACTATTCATAGATTCACATCACCAGAGTGTTGGGGTCAGATATTAGCCTACAGCCTCCATCAGGGGCAGTGGCAGCCTAGTGGTTAGGGCGTGGCCCCCAGAGAGTCTGGGTTCAAGCCCCCCTCCTGCAGACTGCTGCTCTGGGTCCCTGTGTTATAATCTGGGGCGGGGGTCGGCAACCCGCTGCTCTTTAGCCTCCCCCTTGCAGCTCCCTGGAACTTCTTCAAAAAAGTATGAAAATCAGAACAGGAGGTCAAAGAAAAATGACTAATGTTTTCCAATGCTGTAAACGTTTGTATGATAAATAATTTAAACAACAATTTGTGTCATAGTCATAGAGATCATAATTAGCAACCAGCGCGGCGCGGCGCCAGGCTAACAGAGCTGCAGGTGTGTCTCCATGGATCCCAAAGGGAAAGAATTAAGATAGCTGATGAGATCAGAGGATTCAGAGAAGAATGGAGCGAATCATTTGCTTTCATTATCAATGAGGAAGGATTGACTGCATTAATGTAATGAGAGGTTTTCAAAAATAAAAAGGAAAATTTCGAAACAGCATTTCCAGGGAAGGCTGCTAAAAATAAAGCTGATCACCAAGTTAGGAGGGAGGGAGAGAAGAGAGCAAAGATAGATTTAAGAAGTAGATTGCATCTCCAAATTCCACTACTGCTGCTAGTTTGGCTGCAAACATAGAAAACCGTTCAT